CATTTTTCCTAATCATCACTTAGTCAGCTCTGGCCAGAGACTTAATGATTACAAACCATGAGAACACACAGGACATTCAAGACTATTCTATCAATCGAATCCCCGATGACAATGCACAAACCTTCCACTAGATTTCAGACTGCACGAACGCTGGCCCTTGGGGCGGTCCTCGGTGAAACTCAGGGACAAGTCACGATACAGCTGGGCCTCTAGTGAAGTCACGGTGATGTCTGGGTCTTAAGGATTAACGGTGTACAACTATATCATAGAGATCTCTACTCAATTATTGAGAACCACTTAGAGATTTCTAGAATGAGGGAGTTCAGTGAACTCGTCAACTTACAGCACCCACTTATGTATGCCGATATCACAATACCGTTTACTGATGAGATGCAATACACATACACTAAGTGCTAGTCTCTAATAGGAAATTTCGATATCCTCAATGGCGGAGTAACCCGTCGACTAGGAACATGATTTAACAGTTATGTTACTTAAGTAAATATTTCATGATCGTACTAGATCAAATATAAGTAATTATAACAACTGTAAGAACTATATATATGCTTATGCAAGGGACAAAAATATAAAATGCCAAAAGGTGTTTTATCTCTAATACGAAAAATGATTATTTATTACAAGAATAATTGAAAGACCACAGTCACAAGTTGGCTTGTTGGTCACCTAGTCTAACAATTTTTCGGAAGACAAAAAAACCCATGTACTTTGTCATGTGCTTCGTGCGCGCGGCGGAGTTTGGGAAGACTCACCGAAATATTCGCCCTAAGTGGTTAAGTAAGTCAAAATAACGAGTTTGTATGTGTTCGTGCAAAAAAAACTAAAAAATTGTCAGGGTGACAAACTGCAAAAAAAGTAAAGTATAGGTGGCACAATGTTATTAAGACTAGAATAAATAATGTCACATCAAATTTTAAGCTATGAAGATTTGCTTTTATATTTTATATAGATTGGCCATCAATTTTGGATGCCAAATAAAGAGGGAAGTAAATGTAATAGGTGAAAGTATGTGGAAAAGCCCAAGCCCATCTCAGAGGACCTGCGAAAAAAGAGTACTGATAGGAGTTTCTCGGCGTTAGCATTCTGATGATTACGTTAGTCGGAATACCGAAGAAAAATATGTATACGGAGAGCAAAAATATGTATTATTGTGATTGTATGAACCTATTTTTCTTGTATCTCAAGGTTGTTATTTATACCTGTCCTTTAGGTAAGATGGTAGGATCATCTTTTCACTTTTTCGGCCATGCCCTCACGTGGGAATAATGTGACCCCGCGGGTCTTTTGTTGTCCTCGACGAGCTTCTAGTTGGAGCGGCCAGCCGTCTTATTTGTGTGGAATGAGAGCTCAATCGTAGAGAGATAGAGCTCATGGAGAGAGAGAGAGACTTTGCTACTGGGCTCGTACCGTTCTCGAGTCCCACGTGAGTGGTTCCCCGGTCTTTGTCACTGCAGGCCTTTCTGTCTCTGCTGTCGTTTCAGCTGCAAAGTTAGTTCCATCTGTTAGCCGTCCATCCCACATAAAAAATGGTGATGGGACAAGTGACAACTTGGTGGGCTTTGAGGCTTTTAAATCATTTGGACTACTTGAGCTTTTATTTAATGGTGTTCTTAGGGCAATTGGGCCGGATCACCTCCTAGAATACAACAAAAAATTAACTACCATATTCACAAACCCATTTTTTCCATTTTCTAATATAAATTGCAATCAAATTTAAAATTGAAAAGGTGTTGCAAATCGAAGGTCTCATTTGGCATACCTTTGGCGCCTTATTAAACTAGAGAAATCCAAACTATTATTCATCCCCATGGATACCGCCTGAAGAGGCAAAATGATCATATGCAAGTTTCGCCTTATAACATTCAACAAATTTGCCAATTTCTATGTATATATATGTATATACATATATATATATTTAGAGATATATATAGATATATATATATATATGTATATATATATATATATATATATATATATATATATATTAATATTTATTATTGTTATGTGTAGTAATGTGCAGTATGTACCCGTCTATAGCTTGTAACATATGTCAAATCCGACAAATTCGTCTACAACTTTAACTAGGGAAGGCAACGGGTCAGTTCTGGACCGAGTTTGCCTAACCCCGAGACTCAACCCGTAAAAAAAGATAAAACCCAGACCCGCCCCAACCCGGTTCAGCTTAGACCCAGACCCGCCCAACCAATACCCAAATTAAACGGTTCTGACCCGCCAAACTCGCTAGACACGTTAACATAATTTTTTTTTGTTATTATTATTGAACTTTCTTAATATTTTGCTTCTATATTTTAATAAAATAATCTAAAAAATAAAATACAATATTTTATAATACTTCTACAAATGATATAAACTGAATAGTAAAATTATATAATTAATTATATTTAACTTCCACAATAAGTAAAGTTCAAAAGGCAAGACGGCTAGAGGTGATCGACATGGATATGTGTTACTTACAAGAAATGATTCAAACAAATGAAATGGTGAAAAATGGTGTAATTGAGAATAGACACGATCAAAATTGAAAGTTTGAAAAATGAAATCATAAATTAATTTTTATATATTGATTAATTATAAAATATAACATATTTATACGGGTCGGTTCTGGGTCGGGTCCAATAAGACCCGTAACCCGATCTAAAACTATCTGGTTCTAGAAACTTAAACCTATTACCCGACCCAGAACCATTTAACTTACCCACATACGACCCAAAAGGGTCGGTTCCGAGTCTAAGACCTGGCAAACCCGTACCCATTGCCATCCCTAGCTTCAACTAGATTTTTGGCACCTTGAAGAAGAAGATCAATGACTTCCATTAAGCTGCAATTGCAAAACCAAAAGAAGTAGTTATTTTATTTGGGGAGACAAGACTAATGACATTGAATGCAATATTATGTTATTCCAATTAAATTTAGTGCAAGTTAGCACAAAATGACAAAGCTTCAAAACACTATATATATATATATATATATATATATATATATATATATATATATATATATATAGGCCATAGTTGCGAATACTGTCAAATTTTAGATCAAACAACCCAGAACTCCTCGCTCCAAGCGCGTTATACCAAAACTCTAGCCACCGTTAACTACCCAAGGTGTAGAGCGCGCAGTGGAAAAAAAATCACAGAAATTTATATGACTATCAAAATTAAACAAAATTAACATCAAATGGTAAATCTCGACAAGAAGAATCTAACGGTGGGTAATTCAAATTCCGACAACAATAAAATTAGTAGGTAGAAGAAGAACTGTTGACGTCGTAATACACTTGCATTGTAAAACGACAACATGAACATATCTAGAGCTCCCATTTGTAAATTACAATTAAAAGAAAGAGCGACGAGAAGAATTAGCGGTAGTTAAACCATCATGTTGACCGTCGAAAAAAAAAGTTATTACTTCAAAAAACACTACTGTCTAGCCAAAAAATTATGAGGCTGAAATTCGAATATAAAAAAAGAATAAAATACAAGGAGACGATTGTGGTTGGCTAGAGTCTAAATCTGATTTTGTGATAGGTATAATAAATACTCTATACGGTCGAGACTCGAGAGGGTACGTCAAACATTAAAATAAAAGTTGCAAGATATCACCAATGGTGTAATCTTCTTTATAGTTAATCCGATATATTACTTAAATGGGGGGTCCATCAACTATCCCTAAATCGAATAGCTAAAAAATGGGTGGTGCCTAAAATGGGATAATTACACTTTCCGTCCCTATACTTTGTCATTTTCATGATTTTCGTCCCTAAACAAGATGAAGTTACAATTTTCGTCCCTAAACATGTCACTTTTATGCAGTTTCTGTCCCTCCGTCCATTTGTCCAGTTAGTATGGACGGAAAATCGCACGTGCGCCGCACGTGACACACAAAAGCACCTCCCCCTCCTCCTCATAACATTCAGATCGCGCATTACAGGTAAACGGAACATGCCATAATTCTCTCTTGAAATCCAAATGCCCCTTTTTCCAAAGCCCTAATTTGTTTCACTCAAACTTACATTAGATTGAACAAAAAAAAAAAAAAAAACACTGTAACCACAAACAACTATATCTTAACCACAAACAACTACATCTTAACCACTAATACTTACCACTGAAAATTCTAACCACTATTTTCATCATTACAATTAAAATTAAACAACCTAAGACAACCAAAAGAACTTTCAAGATCTTCATTCTATTGTTGTACTGGGCAATAAATTCTCCAAATTTTTTTTTTCTTTCATAGAACTTCTTCTCTTTTGTCATCATATCTTCTTGCTTTGCCATCATATCGGTTTTTTTGATTTTTCTTTTGTAGAACCACTGTTTTGACTTATCCTTCAGGCTCCATTCCCCAATATAAAACAACAAATTTTTAATTTTTTATTCCAAATCCGAATCCACGACCGCAAGTGTTGAACTTAGCTACCTACGTTGAAGAAACTTCAAAATTTGAATTGCCCACTTTCTAATTGTGCTTTCAATGATGAATTCATGAGGAATTGAGAGATTTCGAAAATTGGGTTTTGCAGAGAATTTGGATATTTATGAAATTATTCTAAAAATCTGAACGCTATGAGGGGAGGTGCTTTTGTATGTCACGTGCCGCGCACGTGCGGTTTTCTGTCCATACTAACTGGACAAATGGCTGAAGGGACATAAACATCATAAAATAGATATGTTTAGGGATGAAAATTGCAACTTCATCTTGTTTAAGAACAAAAATTGTACAAGAGGCAAAGTATAGGAACGATGAAAGATATGATAACAGTTGCTCGGGTTATACGAACACAAAAAATATATATAATAATAAATAATAAAAGAGAAAAAGAAAGCTAGAGACAGAAGTACTAGTGCTTATCTACAATGTGCCAATGGCTGAATGACAATAAATAATTGTAAAAGTGATGGGCCCACTTATCTTTGGATGATATATACAAGTATATGATATGTGGAACCCAAACAATTTTAATTCACTGAATGTGACACTCATGTGAATAAGTGGTACACAAATATCATCAAAATGAAATCATAGTTTAGTTGTGCGTTCTCTCTCTCTCTAAACATTTGTACTAATAATAAATTATATAAAAATTGATATATTAATTAAAGAAAGAAATCATGGAGAAAGTGAGGCCTAACCGGAGCGATGTACACATGGAGGGGGAGGAGGCGGCGAAAGTGGAGGCCGCCGCACGAGACTACTTCGACGGGGTGGCGCCGAAGCGGCACACTAAGCCTCTACGCAGCGAATATTCCTCTTCTTCTGCTGCCTACGTGGATGCTCACCCCGCAGCTGATGACCAGCTCACTCCTGAATACATCGAATTCCAACATCTCGAGAAGGAAGACTCTCAGGTAAATAAATTATTCAATTGGATTTTCAATTTTGGAATGTATGTATGTGTAATTTGGTTAACATATATAGAGATTACAAGATTACATTACACCACCGTACACTTTGTTTTATGTATAGTAGTTAAAATAGTAGGCAAATTACGGCCAATGTATCGATCACGTTTACTTTTACGGTGTTAAATTTTCCAATTGAATGAGGGAGTTTTTTCGTAAAACAATACATAATTAATGAGATTATTGTAATTTTTTTTTCTTCATAATTTAACCTTATCTTAGGGTTGGCCGTAATTTGCCCTAAAATAATCTAACTTACTTTTGGAGTTACAAATATTTTCCTCATATATTTATATGTATTTTGTAATTTTGGTTTTTGATAATCCAAAACATAGATAATTACAGTAAAACCTTGATAAATTAATGTTGGATAGATTAGTAATCTCGCTTAAATAATAATTTATTCCGATCCCAACTCAGATGAAAATATACTAAATTATTAGTTCGATAATTTAATATTTTGCTAAATCAATAGAGTTTTATTAGCTCCGACTGTATTACTTTATAGAGGTTTAACCGTACATTATATTATTTTTTGAAATGTAGAAACTTGTTTATAGTGGAAGCAAAGTTGCAGAAGAATTCACGGAAACACAATATTACAAGGATCTCAATGGGGTCGACAAGCAGCATCACACGGTACTAATATTGGACTAATTATTTTCTTGATACTTCAATTTGTCTTCAAATAATTTGTTTAGGGAGAAGAAGTTTTTGAAAGTGTTGGAATAATCGATAATCAAATAATGATTTGTTTAATGCTATATATACCTATTAAATAAACGAGATGCACGTGTATTGATAATTACTCATTTTACACACATAAACAACATGTATATGTGTGTAATTGCGTGTAGATCTGTGATATTCTCGCAACTAAACCTAGAGAGATATATAGACCAAAAATGCCAAAAGTTGAATTTAAAAGATCCGTCGATTTGTAATGATTTAGATTATAAAATCCTTAAGATTAACACATTGAGCAATTCAATTCTAACGATACGTTTTTTTATTGCAATATTGTTAGACCGGAACGGGGTTCATAAAAGTGGACGACGCAAAGGGGAAGAAGGGCTTCAGCCTAGAACCCGATTATGCTAGTGAAAGTCATGCCTCGTGTCGGGGAAACCCTGCAACTAACGACTGGGTTCCATCTGCTTCTGATGATGCGGTACACCCTTTTTTTTTAATACGTATTTTTACAAATACGTATTAAATAGGGTTTAATTTTCAATTTAAATTTTTCTTTTTCGTTTTTGTGCAGGTGGATTTAATGACTGACAAGCCAAATAGGAGTGGGTGATTTTGGTCATTCTTGATGATGATGATGATTGCAGTTTGGTGTTCATTTTATCCACATGTTTGGATATGTTTTGAGATTCTTGGTTTCAATTTGTGTTTTCTAAGTTGAATTGTCTTCTCATATCAAAACATAATTGAGTGTGGTACTAATCTAGTTGGGTACTATTAGGCCTTGGTTTCAAGTTTCAACCTAAACAGTTTTTTTAGTTTGAAAGGGTATTTATAAAAAAAAAAAATTACGGCCAACCCCTAAGGTAAGGTTGAATTACGAACCCTTTCTCCTTCCTCTTGTATGGGTAGCTAAAATCATCTCCCAATTACGTATTGTCTAATACATCCACCCTTACTAGGATACAATATCCTTAATAAAATCTGGAAGAGCATTTTAGAGCTAAGGACCCTAAGCAGATAGTTTAGCAATTTTGTAATTATCCAAACAAGAGAGGTTTTAATTTGTAATTTGATCATATGTCAGGGGTGATTGTAATTTACCTTTAAGAAAAATATAAAAGATGCAGAATTCCATTCCCTCAAAATATGGTAAATATGAAACTCTTCAAAAGTAGTAGCTAGCCGTTTAATGTCGTTGGTCCTTGTGTATGAATCGTCTTCACCACGAATTGCTGCTCCAATGATACTTGAATCACC